CGTCTGAACAAGGAAACCAACGTACATCACTGCATGATATTTTGAACAACCGTTTAATTAAAAAAAGAAAAGAAAAACGGAACTCGACAGACCCAAACTGGATAATTACCCAGCTGAACAGTATGCGTCCTTAACACACTTCTTTGTTAAGCCTACTGTACATGTAATGTTAACAAGTGTGGCTTCTCCCCCTTTCTCATGCTTCGGTAGCATCTCCCTCCGATTGCCACCTCCGCTTGGACATCATTTTTTGTTAAATTTAGGTTGTGGACATAGCCCTCTCTAAAATAAATAGTTCCCCTGGATAAACATTTTTCAGAAATGTTTGCATCTTGAATGTATCCCATACAAAAATCATCGGGAATGTCCCCGAGTCCTGCAACAGTCGCTGCCGCCATCGCCATGGGCAAAATTTTACTATGGATTGTTTACATTTGTTGTCGGAGTATGTAGTCACGTGACTTTGGTTGCTACGTGGGGGCGGGGCATGGAAGGGTGAATTCTCTTACCCTGGACAGGTGTGAGATTTCCTTGTCTCACCCTAGGGTTGAGACGGGGTTCTCATCCTAGGGTTGAGACGGGGGAATCCCCTACTCATAATCGATGGTATGACGTCACTTCAACAATACAATGACGTCACTTCAACAATCCATCAACGTCACGTCAACCCTGAATTTAGCATGTAACCATCACCCCGAGGGTAGGAGATTTCTCTGTTACACCCTCAAAGTAGGGAAAGATTCTATTAATCATATATTTTAACATTTTACTTAATGTATTTTTTTTGTATTTTGATTATAAATTATGTAATGATATAAAAATTAAACACATGCTGTTAATTATATACAAATGCATCTCAATGATAAGTGCCGAATCAAACCCTGAGTTTCTGACATTAAAATAATGGTATTGCTAAAGAAGCCCTTGTAGTGGAAATGTAAATTAATGTATTGTAGAGTCCCTAAATGGGATGCCATACCAAATGTCGCGTACTGAAAATAAACATTAAACTATAGAATCCACTAGCCTTACTGCATATTTACTATCTCAGTTGTTCCGCTACTCCAGAATCTGGTCTAGTACCATGGTGGTCTGGACAGGTACCTTCTGTAAATAAATTAACTGCAGTCAGTTTTTTTTTTACATGTTTCAATCATAATTCAGATGACGGCAATCATCATAGCATGATATGCATGCTATCGCAGGAGGGGATGGGAGGATAGGTTATTAAACAGTATTTTGTGTTTTGACACTTCATTTGATGGATATGATCAAGGTAATAGTGCAAACGGATGACATGAACAATGGCCTGTGCAAATCAATAACCCTTTTTTGTTTAGTTATTTACATAGTGCTTTAATCCAATTTATCCCTCCTCTTCCCCCATTCCCTTAAGGCCCGGTCACACAGCCCTCCACGGGCGTATCGCGGCCGAATCACGGCCAAACATTTCTGCCCGTGAAGCAGACGCTGTTGGACGCTTTGAGGTCGCGATAAAGACGCGATACAGCCGTACTTTACCCGTCGTTACACGCGGTAAGAAATTCACACGCGGTTGGCCGCGCGAAAAAGTTTTGGGCTGCCCAAAAATTTAGACCGCGGGTAATCGGGGGCGGTACACGTGGTACACACGCGGTAAAGACGCGGTACAGACGCGGAACGAACGTGCTAGGACGTGCTACGGCCGCGGTTAAGACGTGGTTACACGCGGTAGGACGCGAAATTTTAGCGGGTAATCGCGGGTGGAGCACGGTCATAGCACGTTTGTTCCGCGTCTGTACCGCGTTGTTATCACGTGCATTAGCGTGTGTACCGCGTGTAAACACGGACAAACGCCTTTCTCCGCGTAAACAGCGCGCCCCAATACCGGCCTAATCACGTTCAATTGCGTCTTGTACACGTCCCAAATACGATTGTCCACGGCCTAATCGCGTCCGTACAACGTCTGATTTNTATAAGATATCTTATATCTTTTATGAGATATCTTATAAATAAAGATATATAAGATATCTTATAAAATATATAAGATATCTCATTTATTATATGAGATATCTTATAAAGTATATAAGATATCTCATAAAGTATATAAGATATCTTATATAATTAAATAAGATATCTTATATAATTTGGTTAAGCACTGGATCAACATTGCTCCATGCATAAATGACAACTTGGCTTGCCATATACAAATGCATCTCAAGGATAGGTGCCGAATCAAACCCTGAGTTTCTGACATTAAAATAATGGTAATGCTTAAGAGGCCCTTGTAGTGGAAATGTAAATTAATGTATTGTATAGTCCTTAAATGGGATGCCATACCAAATGTCGCGTACTGAAAATAAACATTAAACTATAGAATCCACTAGCCTTACTGCATATTTACTATCTCAGTTGTTCCGCTACTCCAGAATCTGGTCTAGTACCATGGTGGTCTGGCAGGTACCTTCTGTAAATAAATTAACTGCTTAGTCAGTTGTTTTTTTTACATGTTTCAATCATAATTCAGATGATGGCAATCATCATAGCATGATATACATGCTATCTTAGGATGGGATGGGAGGATAGTTTATTAAACAGTATTTTGTGTTTTGACACTTCATTTGATGGATATGATCAAGGTAATAGTGCAAACGGATGACATGAACAATGGCCTGTGCAAGTCAATAACCCTTTTTTGGTTAGTTATTTACATAGTGCTTTAATCGGATTTATCCCTCCTCTTCCCCCATTCCCTTAAAAATGTCGGACTTTCAATATTTTTCAACAGGGCGTATACAAATAAGCACTGCTACAGTGTTAAATTATTGGTGGTGGTGGTGGTGGTGGTGGTGGGGAGCAAATACTTTCGTTTCAATGATTCAAACATGTCAACAAGAGATTAAGTTTTGTATAAAGATCTTTGTTTTTGTTGGGCTTTAGCAAAAAAATATTCAAAGATGAACTGAGATAAGATGTATATATTCTATATAAAAAGAATTATGAAGAAAGCCAATATTGTTTCCTATGGCAGACTTATTTTGAAAATTCTAATGTTCCAGGGGTACATTCGCGTTACCGGTTGAAACGGTTGAACCGGTTGAACCTGTAAAGAAAACGACAGGTACAGATTTGGACCGAGGCTGACCTCAGGAAAATTTGGTACGTGTAGATTGAGGGGTCCAGACGTACCTGGCCGAAACTAAACTGCTGAATATTGCTAGTTTGCGTTATTTCTTTCTAAAACAATGTCAAGCCACATGTAGTTTTTAAGATACGATATGTAATTTAGTGGACGCGTGAGAGAAGGGCATAATATTCTTGATACATTGTTTTTTATTCTCCGAAACTGTGCATTTTTAGCTCTGCTTATAGAACGGTCCAAGTGTGTTCGTTTATCGTGGAAAATTTCTGCGCCACACGTACCGTTTCAACCGGTAACGCGAATGTAGCCCTGGTCTGACAGGTGGTGGGGGGTTTCCTTGATAATTACGGTATACAAAAGATCAGGATCACTGAAATGATTTGTTGAACAGCGAAAAAAATCTTTGCTTAAGCGTGTGCCCGATAATGACTAGCGCGGGAAAGACAACATGGCGGCAGGAAAATTAACAAAACAGCTGATCGGAACTAAACCGCAATAAAATAAACACGTACAGTATACAAATCTTTGTCCACCATGGAAGAGGAGTTTGACTTTGACTATGCTGACGAACTTGATGCTATGGAAGATTTTGAAGGCAAGTACAGTAAACGTTACGACATTCGGACATATCTCTTCGTGGTGCCTCTGGCCCGAAATAACTAAGTTTACCGCTGCTGGACCGTTACTCAACTAACTTTAAGCGTTCCAATTGTGTACAAAAATATGTAATTCAGTTGTCTAAATTTTTGTGAAAATGACAAATTGTATCACCTCCAGTGCATATAGTGTGTTGTAGAGTAGCTATAAATAGCATACATAAAAATTCATGCTTACCTGTCACTTTGTACTGGATCAATGGTCTATTATGGAGAACAGTGATATGGTTTGTCCTTTTCACAAAAAGTTAGACATCAGAATTGATAATTTTTTGTGCACAAATGTACTTCATTGTGTTATTCATTTGATTTAGTTGACAGAATGACGCCCTTTTTTGCTCCAAGTGTTAAAAAGGACTTTATGTGTTTTTATTTCACTTTATTCCCCATTTCAGTAATAAAATTGTTACTCAAATGGGTAACTGTTACCCAAATTCAGGATTATTACCCATATGCTCAATTGTGCCCAACCTGTATATGGTAAAACTAGAACTGTTCAGAGACCCGAAGTAAAGAACAGGACATTTATGTACGCCCTTGCACCTACCACAACATGAGTGACATTTAAACAGTATAAATATAACAATCTGTCTATAAAAAAATCCTGTATACTATATTAAGTTTGTATTCATTGATTGCATTCCCATAGCCATAAAAATATATAACCACATCTTATTTTGGGGCCGGTACACTTCTCCACACATAATAAAAGAGAAATTAAGCTCCGCGTTACCTAGGTATATTAATGAACTTTATATAATCAGGTTTTTGGATGGTCTATGTTTGTGTTTCAATGCGTTAGTAATGTATATGTTTTTTTTTCAGCTCCTAGCTATAGTCCTCAGAAGTCAAAAAGAACTTTATGTTTTGAAACACCAAAATCAAAGACAGGGAAAGAGGATCTGAATGATAGTATTAATCTTACGCCACTGGAAAGCCCTGCTGATCCAGTCAATGGTTCCCTATTTCATAGCCCATCAAAGACACCTAAAACCAGGCTTTCAAGGTCTGAGAAGAGAGGTCGCTCTCAAGATGAATTTACATTGTTGTCTGATGATGAAGACATTTATGAAATGAGCTTGCCAAGTTTAGGTAAGTGGTATATGTGTAAGACAACAACATTACAGTGTTTTTTTACCGAAATTTTACAATGGCATGTTCTTGTTTTAATTGGGAAAATATAGCATCATTTTTATTGAAATTGAGGGAAATATTCCTCCTTTTTTTGTCATTTTGGGAAAATCAGGCACTTTTTTTTAAAGAACTAGGGGAAATAACCTGTATTCGGCTGTAAAACTGAGCAAAAAAAAAAATCATTGCCTTCCTGCATTAAACTTGTTATTAAAAAAGAAAACCACTGCATTTTATCCATTTTTATGAATTATTTCTTTTTATTTTATGATTGATCATTAATTGTGATCTGGTTATAATTGATCATTAATTTTGAAGCAATTTCCAACTCTTCTTTTAGTTAATATAAATAATTAACTCAATCCCCTGATTTTTCAGCACTTACTTCAAATCATTTTAGTACTGTTACATGATTGATCAATCAGTTAAGTGTGTGTTGTGTTGTATTTATTAATTTGTGTTTTCTTTTGTTTCTTGGCCTTTGATTAATTGACAACTTTTCCAAAATGAAAGCGTATGTGTATACGCCTTTTGAAAGAATGGCCAGCCTGCCTACACTCTCTTCATTATGTGTGACTATATCTCACATTCTTACTGCCTTCATTCGGTGTTGTGTGATTTCATCAGATGTACCTGCAAGAAAAAGACCAAGATTAAGTGATGCAAAGGAAATTAAAGGTCCTGACGATGGTGATGATATAGCTCCACCAGTGTCACCATCTGCTGAAGACAAGATCCTGGCCATCCGCACCAAAAAAAATGTTGTCAATGGCAATGAAAGCACTCAAAGAAATATAACACAAGGTAGTGACTTTTAGGGATTGAACAATATATTGAAATACATTGAATCGTGTATAAATATATGTATCACAACATAAATGCATTCATTTTGTTCTTGTATACCCCGTATTTGTATCTCTTGATTTATTTTTATATATGCCAGTCAAAATTTTGAAGGGATGTGTTATGGTATGGGGTAACATCCATTCATACTTTGGTTTCCACAAAACAACTGTATTAAATTTAAAAATCATTCAATCTTGACGAAACTTGGGAAGTATGCATGTACATTATACCAAATATCAGAGCTAGGTTTGAAGTTGAGCAAAATCTGTGCACAACTGTGCTGTGATTGGTCATCAGTGTACACACAGTAACTTCATTAAGTATGACCAGATTCTGATGAAACTTTGTATATATTATACATTAAAGACAAAGGCTAGCTTCGAAGTTGAGCAGAATTTCTATGAAAGTAGCTTGATGCATATTTACACTATTGATAAAAAAGGCTGTAAAGTTTTAATTGAGTGAAATCTTCCCGTTATAAAGAAGTACAGTCACCAAGAATTATTCTTTGACTGTAATGGTTTAAGATTGTTCACCTGTTGTATAGATGTTTGAATTTGATAATCCCTTTGACCTTTGATATTTGGTGAACAATTGATGTGTTAAGGTAATATGCTTACTGCGTCAATGTGTTTCTATGTAAATATATATCACGAAAATGACCTATATTACCGGCCGATGATAACCTTGCACTCCTAATGCTTAAACATTGTAGGTACTTTAATGTCTTTTATATACATATCTAGCTATTTCTCTTTAATTTTCAGATTATGATTTTGAGAGGAAGAGAGTGTTTAGAAGAATACCATCAGGAGATTTTGTAGGTACAACAGGCTATGAGGGCCAGAAGGTTTATATGAAGATCAAGGATGAAATAGAGCAGGATATTGAGGTAATTGTTTTGAGAAAATAAAACCAGTTGTAGTTATTGTTAAAGATTATCTGGACTGCTTTGCTATGAATTTAAATTATTGAACCCCTATACAACTGTAGGTTAGAGAAATATTGCCTGGTTGTTTTGACTGGTTGCCTATATATATGTACATAGACCTCATTGTCAGTATATCATCAATCATAAATGCCTTCTGCTCTTCTAGATCTTCATGTCTGGAGTAGCCCAGAGGCTTATATAATATAGATAAATTTCTTAATTTTCAGTTTGCTCTTATTTCAAAATTGTAGTTTAGTAATGTGGGAAAGAGTGTGAAGAAAACCCAGTTACTGGCCGTCTCCCTTGACGAACTGAAGGACCAACTTGAAATAGAGGTAACAAAACTATTACCAAGGTATGAAAGTATGGTTATACATTTAGGACCTTAACACGAGTTCACATTCCACATGAAATTTATTGAACAAGTTAAGGGATTTTTCAATTGTGGGTGCCTCTGTCAAGCTGAAATTAGTGATGAGTTTCATAAATCTGATTTAAAATCATAGTCAGTTTGATATCCTTGTTTATCACGTTTTCAAGATTATTTGCAAATAGTGTGAAAACCACTCTTCCATGCATGTCAATTTTTGACGTCTGAAATTTCATATCCATTATTCCATTTTTCGGCAACTATAAGTATGTGGCTCTGTGTTAGTAATTAGCATTAGGTACAAAATTGTGGAGGTATAGTATTTTACAGTATATTAGGTACAACAGAAAAACAGTTGACTATTTTTGACAACTGTATTTTCTAATGTAAGCTGTTTAAAATGGCAGTTATGGTGAAGTCCCTATAATAATATTACATCAAGTACTACAAACTAGATCTCTACATAAATATAACCAGGAGTTCACCAGATTCTGTATATCTTAATATGGTCTGAAACAAAAACACAGAAAGAGGGGTCGACCCATTGGTAAAAATACTCCAACTTTCCAACAACCATTGCAAAACAGTTTATTTGATTGTTTAAACTCATGATTTAGCCTGTAGTCTTATCATTTTGTTAATACATGCACCTAATTAACTTTTTTAAATTATTAACATTGAAACATTTTTAAACTAAGACATGTATCTGACATACGATTTCATGACTACTATTTCACATTTTAGAGGCAGCAAAAATTGATGGAAGAGGCAGAAAGACTCACACAAGAGATTCACAGGTAATCAACTCACTTCAAATATTAATGTTATCACTAACGTGCAAGCACAACTATTTACAACCAAGGGGAGATAACTTTAGTACAAAGAATGTCACTTGCCCCTTACAAATGTATCTGTTATTTAAATTAGAAAAGACAGCAGAAAGGTATAGTCTTATGACATTTAGCTCCCTACAAAGTACATTGTAAGTTATTAGTAGCTTTGTTTTACCATAAATCTTAACTTTCATGTGTTGTACACTGTAGAATATATTTGAATGATCTCAGTGGAAGTAAAATATTACATACAAATTAAACCAATGGGTTATTTGCTTGTTTAAAATTTAATGTCCCAATATGTTTTTAATTGCTGTAAAACAGTAATTTGAGAGAGGACAACCTTGACGGAAGTGAAGCAGATGATGAAGATGAGATCACAGACAATGTACAGTCGGATTCTAAGGGTCTACTGTGGGTAGAGAAGTATGCTCCAGTGCAGTACACAGATCTACTGAGTGAAGAGGTAAACACCCTCAAAACTTCTGCAATGGAAACACATACTGTACATAGTCTAAATTATATTTGTCGGCCTGTAGGTAACTTCCATATATTTCAATGGGAGATTAAAAGGTGAACCACTTAGTTTTCACCAATGTGTACATAAATTTAATGGTGACAGATTATGAAATAACGGTACGAAATTGAGATATCAATTGAAAAAATTGAAGGCTTTAATCTTTTATGTTTAATACCTTTCATCAACATGTTCCTTGAGAAATTTATTACTTCAAAAATTGTCATATGATAACATTACTTTTCTGCTCTTATTTCATGAAACTCTAATATCATTATTGAACTGCTATTAAGTCATTATAATGTCACAAACTAAATTGTACAGATGTCTGTTATGTTAATAATAAGACATATTTAACATTGACCATGGGAAAATCATTTCCCGTCTAGCTGATTTCCTTTCAAAAATATTTTAGATTGATTCTCAGTTAAATTTCTATTACCATATCATGGCTCTTAATCTGCATTGTATAACAAAACAAATCAGATTTGAATCTAAATCAGTTTGTTAGGATTCCAAACATGAAACAGTAAATGATCAGCCTTTTTACCGGTATGATTGGTGTTTTTTGCTAGCTCATCAACAGAACACTTCTTCACTGGCTGAAGCTGTGGGATCACGTTGTATTTAACAAGGAAGTCAGTACCAAGCTTAAAGATAAAAACAAGAAGAAGGGTAATGATAAAGACTTCAAGAAGAAGAAGTTTGGTGCAGACCTTTTAGAAGAAGAGCTGGATAAATTCAACAGACCAGTACAGAAAGTATGCAGGTTTCTTTTTTGTTTTTGTTTTGTTTTTGACTATCTGTTAAAAATAGATATTATAGTAATTTATTAAAGTAAATAAAAATTTGGGAAAAAAATAGATTTTGTATGGGGCTTTCATGATCAGTTCAGGTTACTTCTACTGAGCAAGCAATGAAAGTTCTGAGAATTGCTTGCTTAGAAGTGTTATGTAAATTCATTCAAATTTTTCGCAAACCGAACTTGAGTGTAATACTATAAAACCATTAACAAAAAAAAATATTATTTACAATTTCAAAAGGTAGAAACGGAATAATCTATATGTGTCATCAAAAGGAAATACATAGAAAACTGTAGAGAAATGAAAGGCTTGCTATCTGAAATGAAAGTATTTTGTTGTGTCGAGAACAGTGGGTAAATTTATTGAGCCATATTTGACTTCAGATCCTCATATTCTACTGGGGGCTGTTTGAATAGCTAACATATCCTACTGGGGGCTGTTTGAATAGTTAACATATTCTACTGGGGGCTGTTTGAATAGTTAACATATTCTACTGGGGGCTGTTTGAATAGTTAACATATAATACTGGGGGCTGTTTGAATAGTTAACATATTCTACTGGGGACTGTTTGAATAGTTAACATATTCTACTGGGGGCTGTTTGAATAGTTAACATGTTCTACTGGGGGTTGTTTGAATAGTTAACATATTCTACTGGGATCTGTTTGAATAGTTAACATATTCTACTGTGGGCTGTTGGAATAATTAACATATTCTACTGGGGTCTGTTTGAATAGTTAACATATTCTACTGGGGGCTGTTTGAATAGTTAACATATTCTACTGGGGGCTGTTTGAATAGTTAACATATTCTACTGGGGGCTGTTTGAA